CCTTTTGTACCGTCTCTTTTTTGGCAAGGGGAGGGTCCCCTAAAATAGACATATACAGAAGAAGAAAAAAATCGGGCAGCCGTATTCCAACCTCTCAAATCTGAAGGACCTAGCCCAGCCACGGTCCAGAAAGAAGCCAAAGTGGATCTAGGAAGTTAATCCGCCGGTTTGGGTCCAGGTACCAACACGACCCCTTCAGAACCCTTAATTCACCACTCGACCGATCCAAGTGATTGAAGATTCCGCAGGTGGACCTTTCCGGGCGGACCTCGTGGATTTTCCTGAGTCTCTGAGAGCCAAGCTAGTGCTAGTGGACCCCGGTTGCCACTGCAGTAGGCAACCCTACTCCATTTTCCTTTTGGTTTTCCAAAGGGTGGTTCCCTCCGGAAATGGAATCCCTGGGCACAGCAGGTTTCGGGGCACTGGGATTTTTCTGCCCCAAGGTACCTTCGATCAAGGCTTCACGCCGTTGTTCTACGCAGCGGGGAAGCCGAGTGATGGGAGGTTGGGCAGGAGGGATGGGAGGGGTCTCCTGCCTCCAAAACGATTTTATCTTTTAGGGTAGATCATGATGAAACACAATCAGAAGATATTGTTTTCTGTGTGCATGAAAGATGTGGGCCAAGGTTTGGAGATGGTTTGGTGGGAAAGTTGGGGGAGAGATGTTTTAGGAGGATTGGCAGAAAGCTTGGAGAGGTTTTGGGCAAATTTGGTGAGAGGTTGCAGGAAGCGTCTCAGAGAACCCACAGTCTGTACTTGGCTGAATTCTATCCTTAGGTCTCAGTTGTCTTCCCTTGACGAGGTGTCTTATCATGGTGAACCCTCGCTTGTTCGGAATTTAACGGGAAGCTAAAAGAACGTCATACTAACTCCCCATTTTGTCCTTAAAGGCCCTTTTGGGTTTCCTTCCTTGTCCCTCTCCAGCAAACGTTGTTGTGTGTTGCAGGTCGTGCCGTGATTTGCCCCACGGTGGAAGCGACTGGGTTGGAGTGGGTTGCCACTCTTCAAAACGTCCTATGGCTCCACAACTTTGACATGTTCAAGTTGCAGTAGCCAATCTATTTTGCAGGTGGGCTATTGGTTCTTGTCCATTTCCCACCAGTTTGGGGTCATCTGTTTGGCCCCCTGCCCCGCAACCATGTGGATTTCCAAGCTCTTGCGTGAGGGCTTTTTGAAACGGTCTACGTGTATTTGTCACAAAGTCACTCGAAACTGGAGGGGACATCGAAGTGGGAAGGCTTGGGCGGCAAAATGCCAAACGAAACTCGGGTGGAAAAACGATAGTGAGGAACAGTCCCAGCCATAATTCAGTGCGGAGATTTGCCTTGTTGATTCTTTCTGGGTTTGGGGTAGAAAAATCTCAATAGAGCCACGTTTTGATTGTGACTCTTAAATTTATAAAATCCACTTGGTTTATCTAAGGGCGTACTACTACCCTCTTTTCAACAAACAAACGTTGAAGTTCCCCCTACGGAATGTACTTTTCCCACGCCTTCCTGTCAGCTTCCATTGGAGGCTAAGGGTGAGGGCAACATCAGGCATTGAATCACGTCCTTTCACCAATGGCTCCAGTACACATGTGAATGGACGAACTGCACCACTTTGAACAATCTGAAACTGAAACCATGGTTTGTCGGCAATCACCTTGGGGAATCGAATCATTGAAACCAACCGGCTCTTGTCTGGGCAAAGGCCCCGTACTATGGATGGTTGCGAAATCCATGTCGCACCACTTGGTTTCCCATGGTTGAAACCAGAACGTTGGGGCTCTTACGTTGGGGGATCGGATCGTCGAGGCCACGAGCGGCGCCTTTGAAGTGTGCAAGTGGCTGCTGGAGGAGCGGAAACCGGTCTCGTGTCTCAAACTGGATCCGACATGTGTGGATAGCCCGTGTGTCCCAAAATGTTGTAAAATTTGGGGGGAACCGAAAAAAAAGGGAAAGTATTGGGGGGGGGGGGGGGTTCTATTTGGGTGTCCCTTGAAAACCACCCAGAAAAAGGAGTACTGTACAGGGATTTGACAAAGTCGTGCCTCAAATTGCGAAGAAGTCGTGCCTTGTCCCCAACCGCATAGTAATTGCTTCCCCCCAAAGTTACTATTGCATGTTTAACAGGCTCCCAGGAGGTTCCACTACTACGGTTTCTGTAAAATTGCTTACAGCACTTTTCGGGGTTTGTCAATTCGAAATTAAAAGGAATAACAATTAAGGTGTAAATTTTCAAGTAAAAGACGGGAAGTGCTGAAAGTACCCCCTAATAATGGCTGTCAGGAGTTTAGTGTTGGTTTAGTGTTGGGTCAGTGAAAAGTAAAAGGGGGGCAGTCTTTTTCGGATTTTGGCCCCAAACATCATATTTATTCATAGGTGGATTTAACAATAGGAGAATGCGATTAACCCAGCGACTTTTTGGCAGACTTTGCAGAAGCGCGTTCTGCCCAGTCCTGCCATGTCATGCCGTTTTGTGCATGTTCCTTTTGTGTTCCACGGATAGTGCGCTTTTATAGCAACAGGGTGCCGATTCCCAAATTGAGTTCCATGCGGGTTGGAGCCCGGGCATGACTCAGGCATGACTTTAAGCATGGCTTTGTCCATTGCCTGTACACTCACAGAAAGACACCCGTTTGTGTTTGAGAGTAAGTAAAAGTGTGATCAACCCAAGAAGGATTTGAGGATTGATAGACACTGAATAGGAGGCTTTTGTACCAACCAGAGTTGGGCTGAGCTACCCCTTGTTGAAACCATGGTGTAAACCACGGTTGTTGAAACAACCTCCTGTTGGTGCCCAATGGAAATTTACCGGTTGGGTGTTTAAACACATGTTGCAACTGGAGGTCTTCATATCGAATAACACAACCTCATTTGGATGTACCGGATGGGCGGACGTTTGACCCACTCTCACCTGCTAGAGTGAGTGCATAGCTGAGTGGATGTTGGTGTTGTTGTTAGCATTTTCTATTTGGATGCTATAATCAAAGGAATTTAAACAAGAACTTCCATAGTACTGGAACCTCTCTCTAAGACTAGATAGATGGATGGATGCATGAATGACGAGATAGATAGATAGATAGAAAGAGAGATGGATAGTCAGCTAGATGGGTAGATAGTGAGACAGATAGATCAGATAGGTAGAGAGAGAGAGAGAGAACAGGAGATAGAGGTAGATAGGTAGATAGGCAGGTAACGGTAGGTAGATAGATAGATGCCGAGCGCGTGCGAAGCTGGAAAACGCGAGAGATGGGGAATAAATAGAAGTGCCGCGGCTGAAATCATGGCCCTGTGCGTGAATCCGGCTCTGCCTCATGTGCGCAAACTACCAATCGTCGCAACGCCTGATGACAGCGGTCTGGGAGCGGTGTCGGACGTGCGTGCTTTTTGCGACTGTAGCTTGCGTGGTAGGCGCAGCACTTTCGCAATGTCGGGTGCAGATTTCATGTCGCGCTAGATAGATACGTAACGACATAGATAGATGGCTAGGTTGCTAGATAGGCAGAAAAGGTAGATAGAGAGGTAAGATGGATAGAACACAGAACGACAAGATCATTTAAAACAAGCTAGATAGGTAGATCAATTCGATAGATCGGAAGAGAAGAGGGGTAGTTGGATGGTCTGGGAGTTAGCTAAATGAATAGCAACCCTGGTTGTTACCCACCCCACTTACAATGATTGTAAGTCCCCTGTAACTGCAGTTACTAACCATTTAGCTAAGTCCCAGACCATCTAAGTAGACAGTTTCCCTCAAAACAACGGAAAGCCGCGAGACTGGGGAGCCTGGCCACAGAGCCTCACATTGAAATTTGCAGGAGCGGGCCAACGTCAACGCCTCGAATGACACCAAGAGCTGCTTGACCTGCGAAAGGTTGGGACCCGGGTTGGCTGCAAATTCGTATGGGCTCTCCTCCATATATGGTTTTTACCTGGAGTGTCCATGACCCTTAAAAAAATGGTTGGTCCTTACCCCAAATAATGGGGTCATGGACCCATTGTTACAGGGTCATGGAGAGTCTATGAGAGTCTAGGTAGATGAATTCTGAGCTTGCGTTTTTTCGCTCGTTTTTATTGGCAGACTGGTCCGTTCGCTCACGGGCTCGAGCCCACAGGTCCGGGTCACGGGCTCACGGCCCACGGACGCCACACAAGCAAACAAACAAGCGCACAAGCAAGGAGCAACACCAAAACACGGAACACACACAGGCACGCCAACATCAAGACACAACCACCAAACCAAACAATGAAGGATCGAACGAAGCAACGAACAACGAAGCCAACAAACCAACTCATGAACAGACAGACGGACTAACGGACTGACACACAAGGAAACAAGCAAACTGACAGCACAAAGAGAAGGAAGGAGTCAAGGAGGAAGGGAAGAAAGAACGAAATAAAGAAACACAAGCGCGCAACCAAAAACGAATCCATGCGAACACACAACCAAACAAGCAAGAAGGCAAGCAGGCAGGCAGGCAGGCAGGCAGGCAGGCAGGCAGGCAAGCAAGCAAGCAAGCAAGCAAGCAGGCAAGAGGGCACACGCACAAACACACACGCACACGCAATCACCAACACAACCACGAACACGACCATGCACGGACAAAACAACAACCAGAAACAAATAAAAGCAACAACAAGGAAGCACTAAGAAATATGCAATACAACAACGGAAGAGAGAACCAAAGAAACAAACAAACCAAGAAACACGCAAACAACAAGACACACAAGCAAAACAATAATCAATAAAGACCAAGAAAGTCATGAAGGCAGCCAGAAAGACTAATATACGAATAGCACAAAGAGCGGCGACAGAAACAACATCAAACCAACCACAAGCCCCAAACAAACATACGTCACATACATACATACACACACACACACTGATCATCACTCATCCATACATAGATACACATGGGAGTCGTTCTAAATTGCCAGTCTTAAAATTAAGTAAAGGGAGGTTCTGAAGGTCTAGCGCGAAAGGAAAACACTGCATCGCGAAAGGCCGGCGAAAGGAAC